TTCTCTGCACCTCCTCCAGCACCTCAATATCCTTGCTGAACTGAGGGACCCAGAACTGGACACAGTACTCAAGGTGTGGCCTCACCAGCGCTGAGTACAGGAGAAGAATCACTTCCCTGGTCCTACTGGTCACACTGTTCCTGATACAGGTCAGGATGCCATTGGCCTTCTTGGCCACCTGGGCACACTGTTGGCTCATGTTCAGCTTCCTGTCAATCCAAACTCCCAGGTCTCTCTCTGCCTGGCTGCTCTTCAGCCACTCTGTCCCCAGACTGTAGCGCTGCATGGGGTTGTTGTGGCCAAAGTGCAGGACCTGGCACTTGGTCTTGTTAAACCTCATCCCATTGGAATCAGCCCAACTCTCCAGCCTATCCAGGTCCCTCTGCAGAGCCCTCTTGCCTTCCAGCTGATTGACACTCCCCCTCAACTTAGTGTCATCTGCAAATTTGCTGATGGTGGACTCAATCCCGTCATCTAAATCATCAATAAAGATATTAAACAGGACTGGGTCCAACACTGATCCCTGGGGGACACCACTAGTGACCGGCCATCAACTGGATGCAGCACCGTTCACCACCACTCTCTGGGCCTGGCCCTCCAGCCAGTTCTTAACCCAGCACAGAGTGCCCCTGTCTAAGCCGTGGGCTGCCAGCTTTTCCAGGAGTATGCTGTGGGAGACGGTGTCAAAGGCTTTGCTGAAGTCCAGGTAGACTACATCCACAGCCTTCCCATTATCCACCAGGTGGGTCACCAGATCATAAAAGGAGATCAGGTTGGTCAGACAGGACCTGCCTTTCCTAAACCCGTGCTGGCTGGGTCTTATCCTGTAGAGAATTAGTTAGAAATGCGAGGGCATATGAACATGGCTAAAGCCATGGATGAGCTGCCAAAGTATAAGACGCAGGCCTCTAACTAGGTCATGAGAAGGTCCGAGATAGCAGGCCGTGAGAAAGCAGCAATGTCCTTGGGTATTCTAAATTGAGCTGAAAAACAGGAGCTTGGCATTACCAAAACAAAGACACTTAACGAGCCACCTGTGTAAACAATGGAAGACAGTTAAGATGATATCACCACCTAACTGTGTACCAATAATGAGCCTAATTCCTGTAATATTCATGAGCCTATTATAGAGTGTATATTAAGCTGCTGTCAATCTACAATAAACGAAGTTCCTGGATTCTTACATTAAGCGTCCAGAGCTTTCCGTCGCGACATATTATTGGCGCCCGTGTGCAGGGACCAGAGGGGGTCCCTAGGAGATCAAGTCGGATTTCCTGGGTCGGAGTCAACTAGGAGATCAAGTCGGATTTCCTGAGTCGGAGTCAAGTCGGACTCCCGAGAACCAAGTCAGGTTCTCGCAGCCGCAGTCGGACGTAGTAGTTTCGGTCGGTCTTGCTGTGCAGCACAAGAAGGCGAAAGGGTTGGACGAAAAGAGCTCAAACCTGCCGCCGCCAAACGCCTCCCTGTCGGGGATTTCGGACGGCGAAAGAGTTTAGTTCCGCGCTTCCGGCAACGAAATAGTTGGACCCAGCGCCCGGGACGACTCCTGAAGAAGGAGGCCCGCCGACAAAGCCGCAAAGTCTCGTGGAAAGGGTTGCACAAAGCGTGGTAATATGTTTTTAGGTAATGGGGAGACAGGCGGCACTATCATTGCTCCAATGCTTTTTATAAAAGCGGGGAGTTAAGGGTTTAGATTTAAAGAAAAAATTACCAGGATTGCTTGCTTAAAAAAAAGAAAAATTAGACGAACTGGCTTTGCGACAGATGCTGCTTTCGTGTAAGGGCCAGAGATTTGAAGCAAACGCTGTAACTGCCTTTACTATCTCTACTTGGGTAGAACTTAGTGATAAGCTCTTTACTGCTGACTCTAAGGGAGAAAAAGTTGCTGCTTCCCTCCTTACAACTTGGCGATTGTTATCTGGAATAGTAAAAGACATTAAAGCGCAGTTTGAGGACATTAGAATGCTACTAGATGCCATCATACGGAGAAATCGTGCAAAAAGGGAGTCGAGCGGAGCCGAGGGGAGTCAGAGTGGGACAAGAGATCACGGAGCGGGACTGGGGACAACCGAGTGGCCCCGGCAAAATGAACGCGGTGCTAGCGTCTCGGCAGTGCATCTCCAGGACGATCGGGGACGACGACTGAGGCGTGAAAGTACTGCTGATGGACCGGGGATGAACTTTACGAACACTATGACTGAGTTCCACCTTAAGACATTTCCAGCTTTTCATCTGAACTGTGCTGCGGGACTGCGCCGCGCATTTGTGGCTGTGCTCACGGCGCTGGGTGCTTGCGCCGCCGTGCTGAGTGCCCCCGGGGCGGTGTCGGGCGGCGGGGCAGTGGCGGTGGTCGCGGCGCCGTGCGCGGCCCCGGTTCGGAGCGGTGTGCCCGCGCGCGTGCACGCCGGCGGCCCCGGGCGCTGCGGGCGGCGGGGGGGCTCTGTTTCCCCCGCACTGCTGACAGCCATGGTCCCAAGAGGTGTAGGTTCTCTTCCCTTTCTTTACAGCGAATGTTTTCTCCCTAGTGCCGCTCCTCTTCTTAGAGTAGCGAGTTAATGACGGTAGCGAGGGCTTCGAGGGGTGCAGTCGGGGGAGGGGGGAAGCTGTTTCTCTTTTTTCCTCGTTGCACTGGTCGCCCCCTCTCTGAAACGTGCCTGTTTGCAGCTGTTTTCTCCCTCTCCTATGTTTTTGTCTTTTCTTAAGCAGACCCTGTGATTAAGTTCCTTCTGCTGATTTTCTCTGGGTGAGCCCGGCCCCTCCTCCTTTGTCCTTCGGCAATGAGGGGCGTGAGGGGAGCAAAGACGGTAAAACACGGTAAAAAGGGAAAAGGGAAAAACAATTTAAGATTAACAATACCCCAATTTATAAATCAAATAAGATTGCACTGTTTTTACAGCAATAGGTGTTACGCATGCAGCGTGCTCATGGCATTCTCAAATGTTTTCTTCAAAAAGAGAAAGGGAGATTGACGAAAAATCCCTTGAAGTAAGATTAGAAATAATGCAACATCCGTGCTTAGCTTTTTGTGTATTGCAGAGGGTTGTTAAGAATTTCCTATAGTTTGCGATTTTGCTTCTCTTACGTGAAGTTTGGCTGTTTCCCCCAGGAGCAGAGTGCGGGTAGAAGGTTTGCAGACGGAACGATGAGACAAAAGGGGATATAGTTCTACCCCCTGCAGAAGTAGTTTTATTGCCTTTATGACAGAATATCATTGCTCTATAAGAAGGGTTGAAAATTTTTCAAGATAATATCCTGTTCTTTCTTGCTGCATTTGTCTTTTACATAGAGGGTTATGCAGGATTTGCAGATTGCTGTTAGCTGCTATGCCATAAATTTCCTTTGAATTATGAAACTGATAAGAAGTGCACAACCAATGACTACTTGAAAATGTGTGTGTGAATGATGGATGACTGAGGTGGCCACCTAAGAGTGTATGGAAAAAGATTGTGTGAAAGAGAAAAGCTACATGAATGTGTAACTGTGTAAACTTTAAAATACTTTCCGTCGGTGTCGAGATTTTAACAAAGCGTTAAGACTGAAGTTAAATAAGAGATTCTTACAAAAATTTGGTATTCTATTACAGCCTTGTATGAAATTTATGCAAGTTAAGTCTCAGGTGGAGTTTTTCCACTGCTATCGTTCCTTAGCTGTGCGGGCTGCGCGGGAAACCACTAGATTTGGAGCGAGTGGAAACCATGGGGCGGCGGACATTGGTGCGGACTGCAGGGTTGGCGGAGCCCGGGGCGAGGTGCACCACTGTGCGTCCGGGTGCCCGGGAGCCATTCTTGCAGTTTGTGGAGGGGTTGCGAGACGCTGTGGAGAGGCAAGTTTTGTGACAGCTGCAGAAGCTGCTGGTTGCATGGCTGGGTGGAGATGGTGCGGGCTTGAGCCGGGGTGGAGTCCTTGGACCGTCAGGTGATTGCGTTTGCGTCTGCTATGGCAATGGTGAGGGTCGTTTTGAGTTTTTCTGTGTTTTCCGGGATTTGGATCGGGAGTTGTCGGTGTTGCTGCGTTGTTTGTTCGGTTCGTTGCAGGGGGGGCCTTGCGGGCTGTCGGGGCTGTCCTGCGTGCCTTCTCAAGGGCATCTGAAGCGTTGTAGATGGTGTGTCTTCAGGCCTCCTGGCCGGAGGCCAGAGCAGACCAGTTAAGTTGATCAGTGTGACCAAAGCTGAAGCGTTGTTTTAAAGAGTCCTTATATATACTGTCTTCAAAACCCCTCCCGTGCAACAGTTGGTGGCAATATTCGTTGTGAAACGGCTGGTCTCTCCACCTTAAGGCATGCCCTGCCCATTGCAGCTGTGTTCTCAGCAAGATAGCCTCACTACTTGTGACTACTACTTGTTTCATACCAGACGTATTGCTTGCATAATTTAACTAGTGAATGTTTAGGGTTGTGCAAAAGCAACCTGTACTCTTTGTGATGCTCAAAGCTTGCTGTTAATTGTCCAAACAAACTTCTGTAGTCATTCTGTAGTCATTCCAAGGGTTAAGATTGTGATGCTGATTACATTGAACCGTCTCAGAATCCTTTAATTACCCCTGTGTTTGTGAAATCTGTGAAATGAAAACTGTTGCATGATCTCAGAGAGCTTAGTGTAGTCATGGTTAGTCAAGCGTTGTTTGTACTCTAAAGGACTCCTTTGAGGAGGATTGTTCCAGGAGGTTTCCTGTGCTTCGATCAGGTGCAGCTTCATGGTTTTTCACCTCTTTTGGAGTTTCGAGAAAGGCACGCTGTGCTTGGCCAGAGGCCTCCTCTAGACTGGTGGTCTTGTAGTCCCTGTGGGAGTTGAGGGCAGAGCATAGCATGCAAATGCAGGCCTTGTCCTTCTTGCAGTAGCATTCCAGCAATTTGCCGTGCTGGGAGCATCTCCTCTCAGCCAAAACCTAGGCACCACAAAGCCCCACCAGGACGTAGTTTTTCTGAGTGTTCTTTGTGCTGTGCTTGCTCAGGTGGGCTTGGCACAGAGAGGCAGAGGCCTTGCAGGTCAGGCAAGCCTTCTCGGCCAGATGGAGCTCCTGACAGGATCTCACCTCTGCTTGCTGCCCCAAACTTTTCTCCTTCTCCTTGCATTGCATTTTCTGCTTTTCCTTCCCTTGATGAACAGAAGCATCCAAAAGGTTCTCCACGATGTTGCAGAGTTGGTGATTGGGCTTCAGTTCCCCGGTGGGGCCTGTGAGGTAAAGGCAGAGTGAGCATTTGGAAAGGCCCAGCTGGCACAAACTGCCTAGCCTGTACACAAGAAAAACTGTGGAGCCTGAGTGAAACAGTAGAACAGCATTAGGTTGCATTGGAACGGTGGGAGGTGCTGTGTAGCAGCGCGAGGATGCTCGCCCAGTCTCGATCAGGTGTTTTGCATATTGGTGTGGTAAAGATGTTGAGATTCCCTATCATCGGATTGTATTCCCGCAAAATTGGGAGCAGCTGTGTAATAAGTTTTCTTCTTTTCATGGGCATGATTGCCAGTGTTAAAACTCTTCACACCACTGATCCTCGGGGGAACATGTGGGTTGCTTAGGCGGATCGAGCAGGTCGGTCGTCCTTCTGTTTGTCTTTGGCATCTGCCTCGGATCCTTTTCGCACTTGTTTGTTTGGCGTGCTTTTTGGTTCAGTGTATAGGTTAAGCTTGGCGTTTGCTGGTTGGGTTTCGTCGTCGTGTGAGAGTGAAGCAGTTGTTTCTGATGCATCTGCCTGCCTTGTGGGGGCTCTCGGCACCTCTTTGCCCTGGGATCCCCGGGAGTTGGATTTGGTGGGATCACTGTCTGTAAGTGGCGCAGGTAGTGGTGAGACTCAGACCTGTTTTGTGTTAGGATTGTTTCGGTCTGGGTTGGGTGTTTGTCGGGGTCGCGACTTGTCCGGCTGGACTGGTGTCACTTCGCGTACCCCAGGGTTTGATTGCAGGGATACAGGGGACTATTGTGGTGCTGGTGGTGGTGACAGCCAGGGCCTTGGAGCGTGTAGAGCTGGGGTGGAGCCTTCCTCTCCGGGCATTTGGGTTGACAGTACTGCACGCGTTTTTCCATCAGGTGTGTTTCTTATTTGTGGCGACACAGTAGCAACTAGTCCTATAGACTCGTGGCTTCAATCTATTTTTGGTTCTATGTCTGAATGGGTTTTATGTTTTGTTAAAGAAAGCCTACAATGGTTACTGACATATGTTGTAATTTTAGTGATAGTTTGTATTGCTTTTTCTTGTATTGTTAAACGTGTAAATGTTATGACAGATAAAGTATTGTTGGCCTCAAATAAAAACGGGGGAATTGTAGAGAATTAGTTAGAAATGCGAGGGCATATGAACATGGCTAAAGCCATGGATGAGCTGCCAAAGTATAAGACGCAGGCCTCTAACTAGGTCATGAGAAGGTCCGAGATAGCAGGCCGTGAGAAAGCAGCAATGTCCTTGGGTATTCTAAATTGAGCTGAAAAACAGGAGCTTGGCATTACCAAAACAAAGACACTTAACGAGCCACCTGTGTAAACAATGGAAGACAGTTAAGATGATATCACCACCTAACTGTGTACCAATAATGAGCCTAATTCCTGTAATATTCATGAGCCTATTATAGAGTGTATATTAAGTTGTTGTCAATCTACAATAAACGACGTTCCTGGATTCTTACATTAAGCGTCCAGAGCTTTCCGTTGCGACATTATCCCTTGTCCATCCTGTAGGTGCTGTGTGATTGCACTGAGGATAATCTGCTCCATAACCTTGCCAGGCACTGAGGTCAGGCTGACGGGCCTGTAGTTTCCCGGGTCCTCCTTCCGGCCCTTTTTGTGGATGGGCATGAGATTTGCCAACTTCCAATCATTTGGGACCTCCCCAGTGAGCCAGGACTGTTGGTAGATGATGGAGAGCAGCTTGGCAAGCTCTTCCACCAGCTCCCTCATCACCTTTGGGTGGATCCCATCTGGTCCCATAGACTTGTGGGGATCCAAGTGGCTCAGCAGGTCACTAACTGTTTCGTCCTGGATTACAGAGAGGTTCTTCAGATTCTTATCTCTTTCTACAAGCTCCAGAAGCCAGCTGTCCTCAGGACAACCTGTCTTACTGTTGGAAACTGAGGTAAAGAAAGTGTTAAATACCTCAGCCTTTTCCTCATCTTTGATAACTATATTTCCGCCCATGTCCAGTAAAGAATTGAGGTTTTCCTTGCCCCTCCTTTTGCTACTGATGTATCTGTAGAAGGACTTTTTGTTATCCTTCACAGAAGTGGCGAGATTCAGTTCAAGTTGTGCCCTCATCTCTCTAATTTTCTTTCTACATGACCTAACTATATTCCTAAACTCTTCCTGAGTAGCCAGCCCTTTTTTCCATAATCAGTAGGCTCTCTTCTTTACTCTAATTTCCTTCAAAATCTCCCTGTTCAGCCAGACTGGTCATCTTCCCCGCTGGCTTGCCTTTCAGCACACTGGGACAGCCTGCTCCTGTGCTTTCAAGACTTCCTTCTTGAAGCATGTCCATCCCTCCTGGACCCCTTTGTTTTCAAGGGTTGTTTCCCAGGTGTAACAGACAGATAACATACAAATGCCAAAAATTATGTTTCGCCATTGTTTCTGCCTGTCAAAAACTTCCTACCAAAAATTCTGTGTCAGTTTTCCACCAGAAGTTCTCACCAGAATTTTCCCACTGGAGTTTTCCTGCCAAAGGATCCTGTTATTGTTCATGGTTATCATATCTCTTCAAACATCTGAATAGGGCTATGTGCCAAGAAACCACACACAACCTCCTTTGAACACTATAAAAGTTGAGGAGAAATTTGGGAAAAGCGGGGAAAGAAGAGTAGGAAAGAGAATTTGTGGGGTGAAGTCACAGCCACAACTGAAGCTTGAGGGGTTTGGAATATTACAAAGTGTTGGGCCGTTTTCCATGAGAGCAGTGGAGCTAATTAGATAGTTCCCATGGACACAGCTTTGACTTATAAAGAGTACAAGGTTAAAGCTGTTTGGCTGAGTGCAGGTGCTACATTCCTGGGTGTTTTTGTAAGAATATGTTTATGTTATATGTGTGGGAAAATAGAAGTTAGGGAACTCAATAAAGCTGCCTGTTAGGCTGAGCAGGAAGACATCTCTCTGTCTCATCATCCTAGTGTGTGTCATGTGCCTTTCTTCCCCAACGGACCAAGGTCTACCAACGGATACCCAACGACAAGAATTAGCTATAGCAGCTAAGGATCTCTCTTCCACCTCGCCCTCACCTTTTCTTCTGCTGCCGTATGCTGCCTGCCCGAGACTGGACCTCTGCCATCTTGAAGTGGACTGAGACCCACCGTGCCACCTGCGTGAGTTCTCCACCCTGACCATATTTCTGAGGGCCGAGAGGTGCAGCTGGACTGAAACCTCTGCACGGCCGGGGACACGGCCAGTTGTGAGCAGTGAAGCCCACATCCTGGCTGCATTCCAGAGAACTAAGACCCCCTGCAGCTAAAGAGATAACATCAAAAGCGGCAGAGACCGGAGAAAATAAAAAAGGCAGAAAACTGCTTCTCTCTCTCTCCCCCACCCCACAGACCAACTCAACGGAAAGGTAGCTTTTGGTGGTATCTTTTCTCTGCTTCTAAAAGTAATCTTAGCATTTTCCAACCTTTTCTTATTTTTTCCTCTTTCCCTTTGCAGCTCTTAGCAATTAATAAAAACAGTTTTGGTATCAACAGATAACTTGTATGAGTTTTAATTTTGCTCAAGGGAATATTCGAATCTAAAAGTTCTTTATGCAATATTTAAGCAGATCGTAACACCAGAGTACGCTCTGAACTAGTCTTCTGAATAGGTCAAAATCTGCCCTGCAGAAGTCCAGCGCAGAGGTTTTATCGATGGCCCTCCTTGCATCCCTGAGTATTGAAAACTCTGTTTTTTCTTGGTCACTGTGCCTGTAACAGACAGATAACATACAAATGCCAAAAATTATGTTTTGCCATTGTTTCTGCCTGTCAAAAAACTTCCTACCAAAAATTCTGTGTCAGTTTTCCACCAGAAGTTCTCACCAGAATTTTCCCACTGGAGTTTTCCTGCCAAAAGATCCTGTTATTGTTCATGGTTATCATGTCACTTCAAACATCTGAATAGGGCTATGTGCCAAGGAACCACACACAACCTCCTTCGAGCACTATAAAAGTTGAGGGGAAATTTGGGAAAAGTAGGGAAAGAGGAGTGGGAAAGAGGATTGGCTATAGCAGCTGAAAGTCTCTCCGCCACCTCACCCTCACCTTTTCTTCTGCCACTGTAAGCTGCCTGCCGTCACCAGAGACTGGACTTCTGCCATCTTGGACTGAGACCCACCGTGCTACCTGCGTGAGTTCTCCACCCTGACCATATTTCTGAGGGTCGAGAGGTGCAGCTGGACCGGGACCTCTGCACGGCCTGGGACACGGCCCCGGTGTGAGCAGCGAAGCCCACATCCTGGTTGCATTCCAGAGAACTAAAGCTGTAAACGACCCCCCTGCAGCTGAAGAGATAACATAGAAAGTGGCAGAGACAGAGAAAAAGAAGGCAGAAAACTGCTTCTCTCTCTCTCTCTCCCCCCACCCTACAGACCAGCTCGGATGAAAAGGTAGTTTTGGTGGTATCTTTTCTCTGCTTCTAAAAGTTATCTTAGCATTTTCCAACCTTTTCTTATTTTTTCCTCTTTCCCTTTGCAGCTCTTAGCAATTAATAAAAACAGTTTTGGTATCAACAGAACTTGTATGAGTTTTAATTTTGCTCAAGGAAATATTCGAATCTTAAAGTTCTTTCTGCAATATTTAAGCAGATCGTAACAGTGCCCCAGACGGCCACCAACCACCACATCTCCCGCCAGCCCCTCTCTGTGAACAGAAGGTCTAGTGGGGCCCCATCCCTGGTAGGTTCATTTACCAGCTGGAGCAGGAAATTATCCTCTATACACTCTAGGAATCTCCTAGACTGCCTCTTCTCTGCTGTGTGGAGTTCCCAGCAGACATCTGGCAGGTTAAAGTCACCCACGAGAACAAGGGCTGGCGATTTTGAGACATCTGCCAGCTGCTTGTAGAATAATTCATCACCCTCATCATCCTGGTTGGGTGGTCTGTAACAGGCTCCCACCAGGATATCAGCCTTGTTGGCCTTCCCCCTGATTCTAATCCACAGGCACTCAACCTTATTGTTACTGACTTCAACTTCTACAGAGTCAAGAGACTCTCTAACATATAGAGCCACCCCTCCACCTCTCCTACCTTGCCTGTCCCTTCTGAAGAGCCTGTAGCCACCCATGGTAGCACTCCAGTCATGTGAGTCATCCCACCATGTTTCCGTGATGGCGACTACATCATAGCTTTCCTGCTGCATGATGGCTTCCAGCTCCTCTTGTTTGTTACCCACACTGCATGCATTGGTGTACATGCACTTCAGCTGGGCTGCTGATTTGACTCTTAACTTGGGCTTTCCACCCTTAGGCTCCTTTCTGGAGAGCCCGGTTTCAATCCCTTCCCCCTTCAAACCTGTTTATTGAGAGACTAATATATTCCTACAGGTTTCAGATTTACTTGGGAGTTTTAAATTTTCTTGTGTCTGAATGGCCTTAAAATGAGTCTCAAGCTGTATTACTGAAGGAGGCAGTCACCTCTGGGTTGCTGAAAAAAGAGTGGTCAGGAATAGGACCTTGTTCATATTTGCTGCCACAAACTCTTCTTTTACGTGTGCAGGTTGGGATGTGGACAATCCAATGACCTGCAGGAAACCCAGTGAGCTCTGTGTGGAACCAGGAAAGGGGTTAACAGCACTGGGGGAATTTGGGGAACTCTAAAAGATGTGAAACACTCCTGAAAGGGAGGAGGGGACGTGAAAGGAGGGCGGCATGCAGTTTAAGGAAGAAATACCCAAAGGATCCCCTTTGGCTTTAGTTTTACACCACTGGAACCATTTAACTGTCCCAGATACTCCTATAAAAAAGCAAGAACTATGTCTCTTATCTGTGAATGTGTGGCCTTTATATGGGAACCCCAGGGGGGTAGCGTGGCTGAGATTCGGTACATTCGACCTGGATACAGTGTTACAACTTATGACGATTCTTTATAGAGAAGAAAAATGGGAGGAGATCCGTTATGCAGAATTGTTTCGATTTCTTTTAGCTCGCCTTGAGCGGAAAAAAGAGAATAAGAAAGATAGAGCGCCTGGAACTGGTCCAGACAGCCCCGCAGGACAGATTAAATCGGGATTACCCGCTCCAGTCTCTTCGGGAGCTGCTGCAGGAACGGCAGGCGCAGAAGGGCAAGTGAGGGCTGGAGTCGTTAGCTTTGCCAGTGGCGTGACAGGAGCTGTGAGATCTGTAAGGTCGGCTTTTGCTGGGGCTGCTTTCGGCGCGGTGGCGTCGGGCGAGGTTACTACAAGTGCGGTGGAATTAGCTGGGCCAGGGGAGGTGTCTGCTGTAGAGGCGGGGGAGACCCCAAAAACCGCGGCGAGAGCGGCGCCGGGACCAAAAGAAACCGCTGGTCCTGCGGGACCGGCCAGTGTAGTGGCGGCGGCAAGCGTAAGGGGTCGCTAGCTCTGTCGGTGGCAGCGAGGCGGGGGTGCCAGCCCCAAGAGTGGCGGGAGCCCCAGGGGTGCCTGCGAGGCTGAGCAGCGCGGCGGCGCCGATAGGCGCTAGGACCGCTGGCTCTGCCAGTGACAGCGGCAGAGTGAGGGCTGTAAGAACGGAGCTGCATACCCAGACTGCGGGAGCCCCGGGGTTGGCTGCTGTGAGAGCGGCAGACGACAACACAGGGGCTGTTGGCTTTGCATCTGTAAAAGAAGCAGTTCCGAGCCTGGCTGGCTCTGCCCACACAGCAGCGGCAGGGAATCTCCCAGGGGCGACGGGAACAGGCTCTGCCGGCGCAGAAGCAGCGGAAACTGGCCCAGCAGGGGCCAGGACTTTTGAAAAAGTGGCCCCGGGCACGGTGGGCGGTGGGGCGGTTCCAGGAACAGCCGTTGCCACGGCAATGGGACTGCCGACTCCGATCCCAGAAGGGGCGGCTCCGGGAACGGCCGTTGCCACGGCGACGGAGCTGCCTGCTCCGACAGCGTTGGGGGCGGCTCCGAGCCTGGCTGGCACAGGGGGAGCAGGACTCCCTGCCTCAACAGCAGGAACGACTCCTGGTGCT